TTATAATTTTGTCCAGATAATCATCTGTTACTGGCATCACTACATTGAAACACAAGTTGAGAAATAATCTCACTTGGCGACCGTAGACACCAACCTAACTTTGAATACAAGTAGACTACTTTGCTGTCTTATCAATTAAATATTTATGCTGCGCCTGTATTCTGATTGTGCAGTAATCCGCTCATTTGTATACATAAGGTTAAAGAGACATAAACAAAAGGACAGATGAGGTGTATTTACATGTCTAGTTTTGAATGAGCATATGAGGTCTGCTATTAGGAAGGCGACAACTAAAGGCTGTTATGAAGATATGGCTCATTGGCGTAAGCAGTTGACTTTCACGGACAGTGTTTCTCGGGTCCGAATCCAGCTCCTCCTACTTCTGCCTGAACAGTATTATCAGCCTTCACACAATAATTGTGTGGCCCACAGTCTGGAATATGGAAAACCTTTTCTGAGGATTGAGTCCTGTGAAAAACAGTTATCGAAACGACTTCTGAGAAGGATGGAATACTAGACAGGATACTTTGAGAAGCAATTCAGCTAACCTGTAGCTGCACTACAGTATCCCACTATTCATCGCCAGGCTCAACTGTATGTAGACATTAATCCTTAAGGTGTAACTGAGCTTGTAAAAGCTGTATCTAATGTAAAATGAGGCAAAGCGGCAGGGACTGAAGATTCGACCTATTGGTCAGATCAACTAAAGTACTACCTACTAAATGGGGTAATAATCACATCGCACTGACGCACATGATAGATAATCCTAGTTTAATAAGAAAGAAATTCATTTCCACATTATTATTATTATATCCTTTAGTTCCTAGAGGAACATAGGGCTTCAGCTGCGCACCTCCATTTCCTTCTGTTTTCTGCCAACTTTTTCACTCCGCTCCAAGTCTGCCCACATGCTTTCATCTCCTCCTCGCATGACCTCCTCCAAGTCACCCTTGCACTGACGACCAACTAGCCGCTTCCCTTTCGGGTTCCACTCGAGCAATGGCTTGTCTAGTGATGTCACTTGATGGTTTCCTCAGCGTATGGCCAATCCATCTCCATTTCTTCCTGTCTATTTGTTGCACAATCGGTTCCTGGTTGGTTCGCTCATTGCCAGAGATCCCTGTTTCTGATCTTTTCTGGCCGGCCATCTGATCTTGAGTATTGAGCGAAGACAACTGTTGATGAAGGTCTGTAGTTTGTTTGAGATGCTCTTTGTGACGCACTGGCCAAGTCTCTGATCCGTATAGAAGCACTGATTTTACATTGGAGTTGAAGATCTGGATCTTATTTTTGATTCTGAGTGCTGTTGACCTCCACACAGACTTAAGAGTAATGAAAGCTTGTCTTGCTTTTCCGATTCTGGCTTTGATATCCTCGTCAGTTCCGCCTGTAGTTGAAACGATGCTTCCCAGGTAGGTAAAGGAGGGCTAGCTTAATTAAAATAGTACCTAAGATTGTGAGTTACATAGTCTTATAAGGACTAAGTGGAGCCGGGGCAAAATAGACTCAAGAAAAAGAGGTGACCTTTAGGCCTGGATCAGGGGGTGCTGGTCACATATGTACCCTTCTACATTTATTGGTCAGAAGACGACATTCGACTACACTGGTAGAAAGACACTGTTTTAATGTCTGGTTAAGAGGGTAGTAACAGGAAAGTATGTTATGCTGATCAAGCCACTACATTCGAACTCATGTAGCCAAGTAAGCGATTATAGAAAGTTGTCAACAGAAGCGATTACTGTCCGTCAGGACAGGAAAGCCTACTATCACCACTGACAAAATGCAGAACTCTCTATGAAAGCTTAGACATACGATCTGCTCCTGTCAGATGTAAGGCGATGCTGAAAAATAGATCTGAAACAACTTCTACCTTAACAATAAAGAGTGAATGTGTACACTACTTCATTTATCCATAGATTTGCGTCAACCTAAGTGAACTACTTGCTGACTGAATCCTGGAAAGGATACAAAGGGTTCATTTAGCATTTGCTTACACGCATCATTTTTCATTGTTGACATGATATCAAACTATCTATTGAACGATGTGTGTGTGTACTGTGCAGCAGTTCGCTCAGTTTTACTCTATACGTAGTCGTTGGAAGATATGAAAAGACTAGTGGTTTTTCACCACAGAGGACTTCGACTAACTGTCCATCTTTGGTTGAGCAACATCATAAGGTTAAGCATGTAGTATCAGTTAGGCGTGGGAATCGATAGACAACGTGGAGCTGCATCGACTGTAGTGACTATGACAGGGTTTAAGCAACCTGAGTCACAAGATTCTCGAAGAACAATATTAGCTGAAGTGGTACCAACTCAGATAAAAGTTACAGGTGACTAGATCAAAATACGACATCTATCAGTGATAAGACTGACCGGTGGTTTCAATCACGGAGTTGAAGACTGCTCAGAATATAAAGAACTGATGGCTTAAAACTGTTTGCAATAGAGAGGATGTGTTCACTAATTGTTGTGTCTTAAATTCTGAAAATGTTTACTAATCCTCATTTAAGTGTTATCTCCCTGTCCGTTGTGATTTCACTACATTTCTTTGTGACATCATAAAGTGTGATAAGTTGAATTGATGCACTTTGTACGAAGTGATACATTGATAAATCAGTTAGTCATATGAGGCATCCACTACACTCCAAACAACCTGACATTTCTCGTTAGATCAAGCGGATAAGTGCAGTTTTAAATACCTCATATCAGTACTAACTATTCCTCTCAGCACTCAATCGTCTTGGAAAGTCCAGGAGGCAGATTTAATAAAAATTCCTCATCAGATAAAATAATCGGTTGGTGACTAATATTTGTGGTTTTGCTATATAGGACCGAACTAATATCTGTTTCCGTTAGCATATTAGCTTGTTAAAAACGCTTCTCGATACAACCTTGAGTTTCATTCCATCATTTCAAAATGATAAGTATCGTGTTAGAGATCAGTAGAATGCCATTACTTAATTAAAACCTGATACATTTAGCTAAGAACTCTTGAATAAGGCGAACAGTAACTTTTGGATTCTACTGCTGCATAACACAGAGAAAATAACAAGAAACCGTTCCTATTGTGTTACTCACGTTATATACACTTTTACAACCTTAATCAAACTATAACCACTTAAATATATTGTTATATTCTACATTATTTAGTAAAATGAATAAGCTAGCACACTTATTTGCTGTTAAATAAGAGATTTTATTGCTTATGATGTAATATCTGTACCATTCAAAGCAGAAATTATATTTATAGCTGTTCACGTCTACTTATGATGAGAGCTGTTGTGCCAATTGACTCCCTATATACGAAGATCGGGCTCGTTTTGCTCACGGATGCAACACCCACATGAAATGGCTTCACTTGTTTTCCCTATCAAAGAAAGGTCTCGTAAATTTATGAGTTGTTAATTTTACGATATGGGTAGTCTAATCCCTTCTTAGGTATATAGCGTTTGCCAAGATAAACGATAAATTGGTTCCTGAAAACCAATATTTTTGATGATAGAAACGATAGAGATAGGCCCTGTTCAGGTAGGTAGTTACCTGGGTTCCAGTGGGAAGTCGTGGCCAGTAGGGTGCAGCTGGTCGGGTGTGAGGACAAATACTCGCCGGAGACATTGGCTAGCGGTCGCACTATGTCGTGAATTGGCAGAAGTTAGAATTCAAGGACCATTGGATCGGGTCCCAGTGGCTCAATGGTCTACGAGCTCGCCTTGTAACCAGAAGGTCCTGGGTTCGAATCCCGGTGAGTGCGTACTGCTGAAGAGTCCCAAACTAGGACGAAACAGCTGTCCAGTACTCCCAGGTTTTCCAATGGTTCTCTAACTAATGTCAGCTCATGATGAAATCCTGAAACCAATCAAATCCCTACAAACCAACACTTAAACGATAGAGATATTTATGGAGAATATATAGAAAGTCATTAACACACGATTACCGATATCCTACTAAACAACTGGAGCAAGTTGAATATCCAGACATTAGTCTTCGTAGATGAACAAAAGACCGTATTTATGGCGTATTTTTCAACACAGGGTGCTGAGCTGATATTAACCAAAATTGTTATTTACTATACCTCTCCTCCCCCTAGTCTTATGCATTCATCTCCTGAAAAGAGAAAAGAAGATCATTTGGGGCTGATTTAGATAAATAGAATCAGCATGTCCAAAAGTAATACATATGTATACACAGTTTGTAGCAACGCTTACAAACTGTAAAATGTTTTTTTTTTTACTTTTCTTACAAGCTGTATCTTTTTTTGCTTTTTGTAAACATTCCAAAATTGTACTAAAACACAGATTATCGCCGTTCCCCCAATTATGTTTACTTAACCATTTTCTTCAACATTTTACTAGTTAACAAGGCTATACATCTTCATAAACTGAAAAATATACAATAAGAATTAAAGCAAAGACAGTTGTGTAAGACAGAGAATAGGAAGTTGGACAGCAATTTTGTCACCTATTTAAATCCATTAACCATTTACCAAGATTGTAAAGCAATGAAAATGAAATCGATTAACTCGTTACCTTTTCCGAAAATGTACACGCTCAACTGACTTCTACTTCGAATAACACATACATGATACGTATGCATATATACTGTAATTCCTTAGGATAGCACAATCACCTTATTACTACCTATTCAGTTTTATATACTTCTATAGGAACAGCATTAGTAAACCTTGGATCAGAGATACACTAGCAATGCCTTACGGAGATCGATAATCCCATGATTGTAGTAAACAAAACTGACATGGCTCAAAACCGTTCTCAGTGGCGCAGATGCATCCACTCCCTGTGACTTATGATCTCCAATGAAACTGTTTTGTTATTCTTTATTCTCCTTTGTCTCACACCTCTGCTCACTGTTTCTATTATGCTTTTCTTGTACTTTCTTCTCTTGCTTCGCGTGCTACACGGAATGTGGCGACTTGAACTTCCGCACATTTGTGCAAAGTTCTATGTCGAAAACAGACAGACAGTAAACAAAACTACAGACTCAACAGAAATATTATTTAGTGCTAAACGAGGATGAGAACTGACGTCGTAAATCATATAACCTAAAAATTCTTGGTATTTCACTTTAAATAAACAAAAAATAAAGATAAGTGGAGATCAATCGTATATCTAAAGTAAATTGTACATAACAGTTAAGTCTAAATGTTTTATGCTGTTATCCATCTAATTTTTAGGTGATACACCAGCTTCCTTAGCCAAATCCTGTAGGGATTTCTCTGATTGCTCAGCGAACCAAATATTGTACTCCTTCAACCTCTTTTCTACAATAGCACGATCTCTTTCAAAAATTTTCTTTTCTCTTTTCGTGAGATATTTCAAACGTAAAGCTCCGTAGACAATCCCGACAGCTAACAATCCCCAACGAGCTGTCCTTATAAGAGGTGACACTTCTCGTGGAGGTAGGAGGGTTTTCACATGCATAGACTCTGCCATCTAAAACATAAGAAAATAGTACTTAGTTTAAGCATAAAAAAAGCGCCTAAATAAGCTTCAATACACCACGCACATTTAGTAAATTGGGGAACAGTCGTGATTGGTAGATTAATAGTACGACAGAATCATAACAGTATAGTCATTTGTATATTTTCAGCAAAGAACACTGTTAAAACAGTAAACCAACAGATAAATGGAAACAATTATTTAGTAATAATTTGTATGAACTTCGACGTAATAGTAACAGAAACACCAGTCTTCTCCATGGTCACTATGAGAAATTACCGAAGACGATGAAGTCGTCAAATAGGCTAAGTTAATATTAGCCTAACCGACTCCAACAAAAATTGTGGGGATAGGAACTTAGTAATCAATTATGGATGTTCACATGATAGAAATTATATTGATTACGAGGAACTATATGAACAGGAATTATTGTTTTATTATTTTGAAATGTCCGGAACGAATTTCTTTCGATAAATAACTATGCACCATCTGTCAGTTTGAAAACAGTAAAAGTAAGGCAGACTAGTTATGTTTTAGTGGAGCAGAGTACTAACCACTAACAGGTCTACCTAACTTAATCTAAGCAACTGAGAAATTTCATAGGCCTTTACGAGCTTGATATGACCTAGCACAAAAACCCATGTCATGTAGTCGAGTTGTATATCTTGTTACTATAAGGCATTAGCAGTAAGAAGAATCATGAAGAAACCGTGCCAACTATTTTGAGGCAGTGTGAGACTTCATATTAATAATCATTAACACTGAAGATTTAAGTGATATGGCTACTATTATATGTGCTTTTAATTAAGTGAATCCTTCGATATAAAGGAAAACAAAGGAATAAGCATGAACAGAGCATAGGTAATAACTAACTGCAAGTATTACATATATAGAGGATACGAACAAATAGAAAAAAATGTTGGCAACACAGGACTCACACTACAGTACTACAACTCTCGCCATCAACTGGATGGGCAGTGCTGATTTGTATGCTCTTTCCACTTATAACTTGCAATTCGCAATTATCACGAGCATATTCTTTATACTTATCCCCTTACATGTTTTTGTGCTGAGGAATTTAGTTAAGGGAAAGCACAAAATGGTAGCTGTCCCACTCTATTTGTGGGTCAAAATTTCAGCTTGACCCGAACGTCTGGAAAACTGATATAAATGCCATCGTCTCAGAGACCAAATCACAGGACAGACACATAAATCGAGAATATCACATGGAGGCTGCATGGAGCCAATTCAAGCAACTTTATACTCAGGTAATCCAACTTTGCATTCCTTGGACTGTCCCAAAGGGTCAAAAACATTATCCCTCATGGATAAGCCGAGAGATTCGTAAAATTACTCAGGCGTAAGCATTAAATGCTGGAGCCCGCTTACCATACTTGACACTTTTGAATTCAGAAAGTTGTACATCGTCGCTAGGATCAAGGTTATTACAAGAATCTATCAATAAAGGATGAAGCTCGAAATACATCTAGCCCAGAACGCAACGGCACAAATTAAGAAAGTTTTTACGGACATGAGCTTTAGTAAAAACACATTCAACGGGGTTCAAAGCCTGATTATGATGACGACACAATCGACGAGGACCAAGAAAAGGCAAAAGGAGTGGCAAATGACTTTTCTAAAGTTTTCACACAGGAGTCATGATGTCCCATAGCATCAGCTCCGGACGCATCAGAGGAATAGAGGATAAATTCTGTTTACATCGACCAAAACGTCGTACTCAATCCTGTAAAAGAAAACTAGATGTAAGGAAGTCGATGAGAACATATGGCTATCCAAAGCTTTTCAGCTCACATAGCCAGACCAACAGCTACGGTCTTCAAGCTCTCTTCTGAATGGTGTTACCACGTTACTGGAAAGGCACCACAGTAACCCACACTCACAAAGGAGGATCAAGACATTGTCATTCAAACTACAAGCTTATCAGCCTCTCCAGCATTTTAATCAGGATGCTGGAAAGAATCATCAGGAAAGTTATCATGACATATCTGGAAAACAATAACTTGTTATGCAGAGCACAGCATGGCTTCCAAGGAAACTTGCCATGTCTGGCAAACCTAACTTCAAGAGAAACCTAGGTCGAGTCAAGGGACAACAGAAGACCCGTTGATGCCTTCATAGAATTCGACAAAAGCATCCTACACAGGAGTCCTGATGAAATTGGAAAATCTTGGAATCAGGGGCAGCTTATTGAAATGGATTGGGGAATTCCTCATAGGTAGGAGACAGAGGGTCAGAGTCAACTCTACACTCACCTCTTGGACAGCGGTATGTAGTAGGGTACCAGAAGGCACCAGAGTCGGGCCTCTCATTTATCTTGCATATTATTACTTGTACTCACTGAATCGTCTATGTTCCTCCACACAGATGAAGTCTGGAGAGCTGAAGAGCGCTAATGTTACAAGAAAACCTCAAAAAATTGTTTGAATGGTCCAAAGAATGGATGATCCCGGTCAACGTAGTGAAATGCGCAACCATTGGCACTGGACATGCAAACGTTAGCTCATACGAACTAGAGGAAATAACGCCCATCATAGTAAGTCACGACTTAGAAACCAGAGTACATTGTTACGAGGCGGAAGCTCGTAGTTTTAGATCTTGATGGGCAACACGCAGCGTTTACTAGAATCACCAAAGATATGTTCACTTCTTTATACACATCTCTGGTGAGGTTAAGACTGGAAAACTGCATCCAGACCTTGTCTTAAGGGGAACTAATATCCTAGAAAGCATTCAAAGTAAGGTAACACGTATGATTCTCGGCATGACCAGCTTACCACAAAGACTAGACAATTTCAATCTCTTTCCCCTACCATACCACGGGCAGGGAGATTTTGTTACAATGCTTAAAATCTTAAGTAATGACTCCGGACCTGGTCTGTTTCTTCCCATCAGGTTGGAAAACCTTAGAGGATATAGCAGCAGAGTTCAAAGGCCAAGAAGAACCATATCGTTGTGGAGTACTGTTTCTCACACCGAGTTATAAACTCTTATAACCGACTCTCAGTTGATTTATTAAAGAAGGGTTTAGACAAGCACAGAAATTGGTTAGAAAAGGATTAACATAGGCTTCAAGCCTTTTATCCTCAATCTGAAATTTTTAATGTTAAGGAAAATCAGTGAAATAATTTATACCGACCCTTACAGTGAACAAACAAATTTTCACCTTTGAAAGCGTTTGTCAATTGTTACCACTAAAAAACTGTGAAGGCTAAAAGCAAATCGGTGATATCCAGCATTTCGTCAAGTAATGGTATAAATGAACCAAAAGGCAAGCGTTAATGTCAACGTATTTGTATAATCCAACATGTTAAGTAACTTAGGGTTTTCACAACTAGTGACAGTATATACGAGTAGCTACCGAAATTGGGTAGAATTTTAATCACCAGATAGCCTTACTGGGTCGTATGCAATCCCCTTATAAGAATAATGATCGAAAATAGGTCAAAAGTCATTCTAATTAGCAAATAATTGCAGATATGGTTCGAATGACGAAATGACAAAAGGGAATCCTTTTTAATGCAGGCATTTGGGAGTCAGTTGTCTCATTTGGTACTTGTAACGAATACCACAAAACCAACGACCTGACGTATGACCTTGAAAAACCAACCGGCCTTTCCATACATAGCAAACATTCTATGGAAGGGCTAATCAACAGGTGCACGGAGACCTTTCAAGTTGGAGTAATTGGAGAAAATAAACTGTAACAGCCACCAAATGACAGGAAACGATAAATCTGAATAGCTTTTTGAGGAACTCTCGAGGTTGTTGACAAACTGTATATCTAAATGGTTGGAAAATTTATCCCCCAAGCTTACTATAATGCTGAATTAAATCTCGCTAATTTCGAACTATGACATTCCACAGTGAGTGAATTCCGACATTGACTTGAAGTGGTTTGATTATACGCACAAACCAGAACTCAGCTCTGTTTTACAGAATGGCTAGCACTTATTTAGCACACTTTGTTTTATGCATTTTCAGAAGTGGTACAGAAGCTACTGGGTTTACTTATCAGCGTTGTTTCAGTTCTCCCAGTCCAGATTCAGCAGTGAACAGCATTACTTCAGAACAATTTGGCACACGGTGGCAATTTTTCAGGTTTATTTCAGCACTAAATGCATTACTTTAGATGTAAATCTTACTTATAAGATTTCGTCACATTAATTAAGCGCCCAATCCTCTTTTTAAAGACGACCACAGTTATTTCAGCACATACTGGGTCCATATTAAATATATAAAATACTTATTTACCACAAAAAAAAACATTCTCGAAGAATAGGTTAGAATAAGCTAGGAACTTCCCAGTCGGTTACTTTTTTTGTGGACCTGGGATATGTGGGTAAAAACGTGGGTAGTTTTCCGTTTAAATGTGGGCAAAGTGGGATAAGGTGGGCTGTTTTCGTTTGTAACATGGGCAAAGTGGGAATAAGTGGGCATATTTTGAATTCCTGCACATGGGATAAATGGGTGAAAACGTGGGTTACGTGGGAAAACTGGGAAAAGGTGGGACAAACAAATTTTATCTGGACATGGGAAAACGGGGAAAAAGTGGGAAACGTGGCCAAAGTGGGTAAAATCGGTTGCATTTACGCCATCTTTTGCCCACGTGTTTGCCGATCTAAATTACCTTTTTATCCCACGTTTGCCCATGTGCATTAACCGACTGGGTTTTGTGAGCTGGAAGCTGTAAAGACGGGTCCAGTGTCACTATCGTCTGAGGGAGACTGATCCACACATTGTGGATAAAACGATTAGTGGACTTTAATTTGACTATGATGTACCCATAAAAAATCTACAACTGATTTTTTTCACTGAATTGTTATAAACCCTTTTTAACGTGAATTTGTACTGTCTGACTGTTGTTCTTTTGTAAATATATGCATTTACGTCGATTATCTGTACCTCTCTTACTTATCACTATAGTGAGAATTTCTACGCAGAACAACCTCAGTGCTAGCGAAAGTTCTCTCAAACCTTGCCACTGTCTGTGTTAAAGATTCACAACATCTTAACGTGCAGCTTAGATCAGCAGCTGCTAGGGACCGAAAAAGGATAAATGTTAGATTAACCGCACCCATCCGAACTCTCAACGTCACTGACCTTGGGATTATGGGTTCTTTCAAAGCCCGCTGATTCTGTGTTGTTCCAAAGTTAAAAGCATGCTTCAACTGTCAGATGTCACTAGAACACATAATATTAGTGCAGTCGCACCTCGTGAAATAAGTATGAAATTACAGTTCACGTCTTTCTGGAATATGGTAAATGACATTGGCATATTCAATTCCTGTCATCCAATATCCAATATCATTTTTACTAGCTGGTATAAGCTAATCTGATTTCTTTGTGCTCACGTCTTGATTGCGAGGTAAAGGTTACTGATCTTCGGTGAACTTCTGCGTAGTTCGTCCTGCTGCTTGACCGTAGCAAAAATACATCATTTATCGTCCTGGTCTGTTGCATTCAAAAATGTGCTATGGAGCGCTGTCGTACTTCATACGTTATTGTTCGCTTCTATGTAAAGTAGACAGTTTTACTGATAATGTTGAGCTTTGTTATTTACTAAAATTCATACTTTTGTTAGACGCCAGGCATTTTCTTTGGTAATGTTGTGCTTTGTGTTTGGGATCCGAATGGTGAACAAATTGAAGAATTGTGATATAATTGCCCGGTGTGTTTCTTCAGTATAACAATGACGCAGTGCGCCCAAGGTCTTGGTTCTCAATATAACTCCATTTCAAACTGGTTAGTCTACCCGTTTCTCGGTTTCCTTTAAGTCTGCCAATTCATCTGTCATTGACAGCAACATAGTGCCTATAATTACTCATAATCAATTCGACTGTCAATTAGTAGTTATTAATAATTGCGATTCGTCATATGATGCGTATATTTTGAAAATACAAAATGAAAATAAGTGGCATAGCTCATCATGTTATAACTGTTGAGGACGAAGTGGGCACAATAGTGGTACAGAGCAGTAATAACTTCCACATTACAAAGGAGAAAAAGGAAATTGTCACGTTACTTTCACATGAAGGCTGCTGATGACAGAAATGGCCGTAAAAATTCCTTCTGAACAGACGATTTTGTTATCTTCAGGTACCTTCCTATGGCTCCAGCTGTACTCAAAGGACAAATTCGCTGTGTGAAACACATATGAGTGGGTGTTCGTTAGTTAACTCCGGTTGCCTTTTTAACGTCAGTCCCGTGTTTAGTAACTGGGATAATATCGCCACGATTAGCAATAGGCAGTCGTCTCGAAAGAACACTCAAACGTTTGTGAGCCGTTGTGGAGAGTGAACTGTATGAGAAGAAACTAATAAAAGCCGAGGTGTACAATGACGTTTGCCTGCGGCCTGTGATTTGGCTAAACCGGTTTCTGATGTTGGACACGAGCTAGTTACATTTTACTGAGGACGAGTGGATCTTTCAAGGATGCGGCCATATCATGTATTCAGGACACCAGGTAAAGATTCAGGGTTGTTTTAGCTTCGTGCTATCAGTGGTTAACCCAAGGCATGCAGATTACGCAATCATTTACAGGCACAATATGAAAAGATGAAGCCTCTCAGCCACTGGATGGCCGGATGATTCCCATTCGCATCATCTGCCTGGAGTGGTCTGTGGAAGCCTGAATTTCCCAGGGAGGTGAATGCTGTGTATTGAGCACCAGGTCTGGAAATAGAACGGAAACCTCCGTTTGCTTTAAAGTTTTCAAGTATTGGTTTTGAAGGGATTTTGATGAGGCAGTAACTGATCGAAGAAGACATTGCGAAGTGGTCGCGCTATGTCGTGAACTGGCAGAAGTTAGAATTCAAGGACCATTGGATCGGGTCCCAGTGGCTCAATGGTCTACGAGCTCGCCTTGTAACCAGAAGGTCCTGGGTTCGAATCCCGGTGAGTGCGTACTGCTGAAGAGTCCCAAACTAGGACGAAACAGCTGTCCAGTACTCCCAGGTTTTCCAATGGTTCTCTAACTGATGTCAGCTCATGATTAAATCCTCCACGCTTTAAAGTTCACTGATGATTGGAGTGATAAATGAAAAATCGGTTTCCTCCTCTACAGCAATATCGAATCAAACTGATGTGCTACTCTTCGCAATAATACGATCTATCGGCTAATAACGGTAATGGATAGTGGCACGCATGGCTTATGAAGAGGCTGAGCACTTCAAGGTCACGTATGCATATTGTGACTGGTGGATTTTCCTATGCGTAAACACTGTGGCTAATATGAAGCACACGTTACTGAGGCGGGCTGTGAAATGATAATAATAAAAATCGCAAGAATAGCACATTTTTCAGCTTAAGGGGACAAGTTAACATATATATAAATTTTACAGATGTCATATGCATGTGGATTCAGTAACAAAAAGATATTATTGATTAACCTGACCAAAGAGTTTTGGTCTATTTCAGTTGATTGTAACGGACGGATAGGAGAGGCAGTTGTGTAATATTTGCACTTTGCAGAAGACAAACTGTGAAAGATAAATCGGAAGTTCTATATTTCCTCAAATCTGTCATAAAATATATGGACTAATCTTACCGATTCTACTATTGCTCCCTCCCTTGTTCACATATTCATTGTGGCCAAGTTAAGGAATTGTTCACCTGAGGTAAGATTAATTCACCTGATATGTGTACATAGTTAGATATTTCTCAGTGCGGCCGGAGGTGGCCGAGGGAATACAATCTCGGTCTTTGCACGGAGAGATCATAACCAGTTTCTTCTGAAGGATCGGGTGGTGCTGAAAGCTGTAAAGACGGGTCCAGTGTCACTATCGTCTGAGGGAGACTGATCCACACATTGTGGATAAAACGATTAGTGGACTTTAATTTGACTATGATGTACCCATAAAAAATCTACAACTGATTTTTTTCACTGAATTGTTATAAACCCTTTTTAACGTGAATTTGTACTGTCTGACTGTTGTTCTTTTGTAAATATATGCATTTATGTCGATTATCTGTACCTCTCTTACTTATCATTTCGAGGACATTGCATAGTTAACGAAACTGACGGGCAACTTATTTGTACTTGTTTGAAATGCCTCATAATCGTAAACCGTTAGTATTTCCTCAGTGCGTTATCAACCCTCTCATGAATTGTTTCAGTTACTTTTGATCCGGTTGCGTATAGTATAAGAATGCATCAGTGTTAAGAAGAAAAGGGCATCAAGCAAGTGTTTGTATTGTAATAATTACCATGAAATAACCATTTTGTTAGATGCTTTCAAATTCGTAAACCGTTATAAGTCCTTATGTGTATGCAACATCTCAGTTATTTTCAGTCCGACTGCGTAAAATATTACCTTTTATCAGGGCTTGCGAAAAAGTATACGTTGAGCCTATGTTTGTTATGCGATTCTTACGTATACAATATAACTCATGTAGGACGGCCACGTGCATCAGAAACAACGGATTGTGGGTATATCCTATTGAAGATAAATATCCTAGTGTTCCCATGTTGCGCGAATTATCACTTTCAAAGTAAATCATTACGCATTCCAAAACCGGCTACATCACTATTCCTTCGACAAGCAAAATGAACTTGTACTAAGATAAATAATTTTATAATATCACAAAGATTCCAACATTGACACGCAAATTTTTCAATTGCACCTCATCAAAGCCTTCAAATAAAGTGAACCATTGTGTAAATTACAACTGCAACCTGCAAATCAACAGCAGCAGAACACCTGTTACCAAATAATTAGCAATACAAAAATGCTACGTACCAAATTACCTTTTAGGAAAAGCTTCGTTTATTCACCGTCATCTTACGAATAAATTAACTAACACTCCCTTATAGCTGTAAACTACTGTAGCGGTGAATAATTCCACAAAATTATTGACCTTGGGAATCATCAGTGAACATTGGATGCTGACTCTTAGTGTTTAAGTCGATTTGTTTGGCTGAAGGCTTCCGGTCAAGCATCCTCGCCATTTGGTACTCCGTCGTGTCACTTTCGTGCACGATAACTAGCCAGCTTAGCTTCCGCTTCAGTCCACGATTTTGTTCCGAAATATATCTCGTAGTATGGACAATCAATTGTGTCTTTTGCTTTGCTTTTGGCACACGAGAAACGAATACTATAGAAGTTGTTGGTATAAGATCTTGCGTTGGTATACTCCGTAAAATTCGCAAACGTCTATACCGTCAAACACTAAAATCTTCTGACAGTTACCAAGTTTTCATAACTCAAAGATTGAAAACACCCCTTCAGAATTTCGCAAAATATGCTTCAATTACCTAATTTATTTCGTTTCCGTTAACTTAATCAACTGTTTACACAGAATTTTAACATTCGACACGCAAAGAAACAGCGAAGTTCGATGACATACGTGTTCACTCTAACTGCTTAAAGCGTCTACTTTCAACGATTTTTTAAAGTTTTTCATGAAAGTATGGAATCTATAATGTATTTCGAGTGAGAAAGCACCTGAAACCAACGTAGAACAACCCAAACACAACATCGCGATAAAATCTAATGACACCTGGTGTGTGCCGCCATCCACTGCCACCAATAACGAGAACAATTATTTTGGCGGAGAGGGCGGTTTCCAAATTGACGAGACTGATTAATCCAAAACGCACCTTCCTTAATATGGTTAACTGTAGTTGATATGGTTTGTTTTCTCGAACTTTTTCACCCGTACTTAATTTTGACCTAACTTTTTAATTCTAGGGTCTCATTTACTAACCATGGAACCTGACTTCAAAAACTCTATTTCCTCAGAAGAAGGTTGTCTGAATTTGCTGGACGTGATCTGGAACTATGGCCTACCCGACTACAGCGCTACTTTGATCGGTATAGTATCAAATCTGAGGATGTAATGTGCAGGGGTACGTGTCATCACTTGCCTCAGCACATTAGCAAAAGGCCGCAGAAACGTATACTTCATCGTCATAGATGCAAAAGTGCTTAAGGACGAGGTGATGAAATATCTCTCTATATCTGAAAACCAGAGCATGTGACAGTAGCTACAAGAGTAAAAACCCCGCCTAGTTTACTAGCTCGCTAGTTTTCTAGCTGAACTCAGGCCAGTGAAGAGAAAGAAACTTCAACGCACAAGAAAAATGTTAAAATAAAAAATATAAATTTCTCAGATCACTAA